TTTTGTATGCTTTTTCCCAGATACCAAAGATTATCCTTGCATTCCATAAAATCCTACTACAACAGATATTATCGAGGAACGATAAGAATGACGATAAGAATGATCTGTTGTAAGAAAAGAGGAGCGTGGAGAATAAAAATTTTGTAGAAGAAAAGACACGTATCGATTGTAGGTTGTTCAGAGGTAAAGTTTCACGACTGTTTTACAGCATTTCGAAACATAAACGCGACTGGACACTAATGGACCAGCTTAAATATGTAAGAGCAACCTGCCCACCGGGTAGCGGGTAACAATAAACTAACACTTAAGGCGTACTCCAAGGCACAATGCGAAGTCACACTCTTCGCGCTAACGATCTCACCTCCGAGCTTCAAGCTTCTTGCACCGCCGTCTCTCTGGAGACTGTGTTAACTGGTGCGGGATAGAGGAAGCGCGAAAGAGCAGCGAAATATTGGCAAATATTTGTATGTGAATAAAATGCTAAGGAAAAAGTGAGAATATAGGTACGTACATGTTGGTACTGGAGAAAAAAGGAGTAAAAGTCATTTTCAATTGGAAGAAAGTACGCTTATCCGGTGAAGGTGAGACCAATGGACTCGCACACCTGGATTTTTTAAATATTTTGAACAGTTCTTGAGAATTCTAAAATTTGTTTTCTGGCAAATATTTAAATGCGCCGACGTATACGTATTTCTGGATAAAATGGCAAGGAAAAAGTGAGAATATAGGTATGTACATGTTGGTACTGAAGAAGAAATGAATAAAAATGATTTTCAATTGGAAGGAAGCATTCTTGTAAGGTGAAGGTGAGTTCAACGAACTCTTCTTTCGAACAGTAGGTATTGTACTTAAGGACTCCAAATTTTTTTTACGAATTTTTCTATTGTATCGACTGAATTGTAAATCTTGAAGACATTTTTGAAGCAAAGAAAACATTTAAATAATTTTATTGCGCAAGTAAAAAGTAGAAGTCCATCAGACGCTGTAAGCTATCTTTCCAGAAACCTCCAGATTCGTGTATTAGGTGTACCAATTAATTCGGTGCCTTTTTTCGCAAACTTCAATATTTATTTAGAAAAAAAATCAAACACAATTTCAATATTCATAATAATTTCCATTACTTTCGATGACATTTTTCTACTCAATAGTCAACCGACGAATGGCCTTTAAAAAATTATGGCGATTTTCGATCCATAAATCTTCTCTCATAAAGTGAAAAAAATATCTACATAGATTATATTTTACGCCTACAGAATTAATTTAATCCTGAATACAACCCAATAAATAAATTTTCAAAAAGTTCCGAGTATTTCTGAAAATCTATCCTAAAATCAAACTATACCCTTTACCAAAATCGCGTGTTAACGCTCGTACGTTCCAGCAAATTCCGACTGTCTGTCTACGTTGCATAATTAGACTATCCGGATAAGGATTAACAACGCTACAGTCTGGTCGTGTAATGGGAAATTAACAAGCATCGCGCGTTGCATCGAGATCATTCGTTCGAAAGGAACAACGCGAGACCGACGCGCGTTTTACCCACCGCGTCATAAAGGCTAACAATGATGGAAATATTAGTTTTTAAAGCCGCGCAGGGTGTCGTTAACGGTCCAAGCATTTCCCGTTCGCGAGCGAAAAGTTGCTGCCCCCTCGTTGCTCGTCGCTTTTCTTACGCCTCGCGTTTATAGGCCTTCGTGAGCTATAATTCCTTTTTTCCTTCGTACGCTGCCTTGTGGTACGCGGGGAAGAAAACGTGTTCCCATTCGCCTACTTTCCAGCGAGTTATACGACTTTTGCGTTATAACGCGCGTCACTGTGACTCTCGAAAGCTTCGGGAAATAAGGTTTAATTTCGCACGGAGACGTACTGTTTCACGTGAAAGAAGAGAACTTAATCTTTAACCCTAGTGCGGTCCTCGGGTCTTTTTCTATCCATCGCCTACCCTTTTTTAATAACTCTTTTTGAAAACTTGACGAAATATTAAAATTGGGTCCTTTTCGACCCGTCGTTTTCTTATCTTTTTAATCAAATTTATGTTTCCTTGACGTTTTATTATAATTGGGTCCTTTTTGACCCATCGCTTTCTTATTTTTTTAATAACTATTCCTGTTATCAAGTTTACGTTTCCCTAACGTTATATTAAAATTGGGTCTTTTTTGACCCGAAGACCTGAAATATATCTATAGTCGAGAAGAAGCACGCAGTAGGGTTAAGAAGGATCAATTTTGTTAACTTTCACGACACAACCTTCGGATATTCGAAACGAAATTTCTATTCATACACGTCGAATCGAATCGCAACTGAGCTTTCCTCGTCCAGGTATCCTTAAATTTGGCCGTGCTGCCTTTTGATCACGACGGTCGATAACGGCGGTCATTATAAATTTAAGCGCTTTTAACAAAAGCCACGTTAGCTCACAGCCGTTTCGCACGCAAGCAGCACTTTGCATGCCGCATTCCGGACGACTTGCCACCCTTGTTTGAACTGGCGAACTGGTGTTGCGCTCAAAGTCCGAATGCATAATTAATCGGGTTATCAATTAAAGGAGCACCGCCGCGATTCGTGACCGCTTCGTACGGCCGGATCGCTTTTATACGTCGATATTCGATCGCGATACCGTAAACGGAAACGCGTCTTTGTGTGTTTTCGCGGTGACGGGATCGAGTTGTTACCGAATGACTGAAATTGCATCGACCTAGATCCCAAAATTTCTCTCGACGGTCTCACGCCGACAATACTGCGAGCGAACTTATTTAACCCTAGTGTGGCCTTCGAGTCTTCGACCCATCGGCATTTTATTTTATTTTAATAAACTTTGCAGTTATCAAGTTTATATTACCTTACAATTATATTGAAAGTTTATTGTCTAGGTCCATATGGAGTGATTTTAGCGAAAATTGTTACACGTAAGGTCTTCGGGTCTTTTTTGACCCATCGCCATTTTGTTTTTTTAATGACTTTGTCAGTTATGAAATTTATGTCCCCTTAACATTATATTAAAAGTTTATTCTCTAGGTTCATATGGCTTGCCGATAGCGAAAATTATTACACATGAGGTCTTTGGGTCTTTTCTGACCCAATTGGTTTTATATCTTTGGGTCAAACAAGACCCAAGTGTATGGTCGAACGAAAGAACGCACTAGAGATAAATGCATTAAGAACGCACTAGAGATAAGTTGCACTCGAACTTGAATCAACAACGAAAGAATTTTATTTTGATATTTTGTTTTCTTTTAGAGTGCTTACTAGACACGAAAATATGTTGAAAAGTTTCACTTCTACATTTTTCGAAATATTTCGAAATGTTCTACTATACTCTACTATATTTTATGAACTACATGGTATACTATGGTATGTATACTATTTTTCGTGAAAATTTCGAAGAAGATTCAAACATAGAGTACTCAATTATTTCGAACAATGTACACGACACGAGCAGTTTTACGTCTTTAAATCGATGATATACGGTTGACGAGAAAGCAACCCTTGACGATCGACAAACGATCGATCAACTGAATTCTCATTGGTGGAACGGTACGGAGGCATGTAAACTCTGTTTGAAACCGGCGAACTCAATCATTCTCTCTGTTCTACGACACGGCAAGGACCAACACGGTCTGTGTAAATACAGGGAGCCGAGTGCACTTTGCTCGATATTTAATGTGAATGCCAAATCCTTCCGGTGCATTTTCGATTAGACGTGAGGGGAATTGAATTACACGCGGTTCTTGCGTCAAGTCTTCCACGATTTTTAAATGATTAATGACATTTAGGGGAAAGCTTTCGATATAAGAAAGCTGACACGAAATCTGTATGAAATGTGAGAAATATTGCGTCGTATTGCGTGCCACGTTTTTCCATGAACAGTTTAATCTGAACAGTGTATGAAGTACACTTAACCTTACCTCGAACAGTCGTCTTGGCAAAACATCCTCAAGTGGAAACTACGGTAAGCACGTAAAAGCAGATAACCATCACTTTTAACACGTAGTTAACGCAAACTATAATAGATTGTTATCGTAGAAGTATATAGCAAGCGATAAATATATACAGAACAAGCAAAATCACACAATTACGTTAATTTTACGACCTTTTTGTGTTAACGCGTCACGCACATTTCAAATCACCTATTTCAAACTAGAAATTAACTGACGCTAGTAGCGCACTCTATGCACGAAGAAGGAAGTGTCGTGTCCTTACTATTACATGGTAAACTATGATGGCTTGTCATTGGCTGATAAAAGAGTATCGATTTTATTAACAATGTTCACATTCTTGTATTTTATAGTTTATCCATGTTACTGTTAGTTTGAATTTTAATTTGGCGCTGGGGAGTAAACGCGTTGAAAATGTGTCGAATTTTAAAGTTTGTATTTGCGACGGTTAGTAATCGTTATCGACATTCTGAGTGTTTTAAAAAATATCGTGTATTTTGAATTTTTAATATTGGAATGAAAAGTGGAAAACACAAGTAATTAGCTTGTGTACTGAGAAGAAATGAATCAGGTAAACGAACTTTCCCTAGACCTCTAGACTTGACACCGTTCACACTCCCTTATCAATAAGAGGTAAATCAACAAATGATAAATACGACAAATGCGTACAGTTCTAATCGTAAAAGGAGTTGAAGCGTAGTACATTTACTTTTTCGACCTTGGGTATAGTTATCATTTTTTCTGATCCACTTTAATGCGCATTTCAGGTGTTGCGCATATACGAAGTATTGACAGTTTCCCGCTAACTGACTGTTTGAGAAACAGTTCGTCGAAATTTAAACTTACATGATTGATGTTTGGAATGTATCTTTTTGTCATTCTACAGAGGAATTTTTATAACAAATGAAAATAGTTTCAACATATATATGTTCATATACATATTCATAGAAATTAATAAATTAAATCAATGATTTTTCAAATTTTTATTACATTATACATTAGTTGATGGTATAATACTATAGTTTATTTTTCAATGAAATTTCATGGTATTACAATAATAATATATATTTTTAAATTTCATTGGTCTACAATTTTGTTGCGACATTCATTCTCGATGTTGGTCAAATTAGTAGCGTTTTACTTGCAACAGTTGCACGAGGATTTGCAGTTGCATGATTTGTCAGCCTGACCTGTAAAATAAAATGTGAATTCAAGGTTAGGAAATATTTCATGACACTTTATTTGTAACAGAATATGCGTACAACAAAGTAAATTAATCGTGACAAAATGTAAGATCAAATCATTCGTAACTTACAAGTTCGTCGTAATATTTTAAGAGCAATCCTTATGAAGAAAGCAGCCCTTGGAAACAATAGAAATCGTTCTCTCCCTAAACCGTAAGCTTAACTGGACCGTACAGCGAACTGACATTAACTACGGTCACGGTTAAACGGTCATTGCCCGCGTTTACAAGAAAAAAGGGGTACAGTCAGCACGAAAAACTGTAACTACATTCCTTCGAAGCAGCTTTCGTATTTTATAGAAATAGTAAGAGATGTAACATGAGTTTTGTCACGAATAATCTTCACTTGAAAATTCAAATTGATATATCGAAGACAATTTAAATTAAATGTAATTACCTCCGCATCCGCAGTCGGAGCACTTGCACTGGTCGCTACACTTGCAGTCCTCGCACTTGTCTGTAATAAGAGAAAATGCCTTAAATATGAAATAGAATGGAACTCGGAAGATTTATAAAATATGGTAAACAATTTTATAGAGGAACTTTTTATGTTGTTAACTGTATGTAAATTGATCAAACTCTACAATTGATCAAACTCTACAATTGATCGGCCGTCGTAATGGCCTTTGATGAATAAATTATTTTATTACTTCCTGCAGAGACCAATAATGCTAATCGCGTATTACAAACGTTTCAAGAAAATTCCGTGTGTTCCAGGAATTTCCAATTATTAAATTCCCCGTATTCATTCACATAGAACGTTCGTATGAAAACGTTAAAATAGTTTAATATAGTAATTTATAAAAACAAGAAAATATAAGTGAATATTATTACGTTGAAAAGATATGTCATTGAAAGAAATTTAAAAAATTAATAACAACAATTACAACTAATAATGACATAAATTAAATAAAAAATAAGCATAAAAATTTATATATGAAGGTAAAGAATATATATTACAAACGTCATATTAAAAACATTAATAATAACATATATTTCGCAATAATTTAATAAATTGCATATGTTAGAATTGCACCAGAAATGAACTGATTTCAATTAAAGCAATAGAAAATTATTTAAAAAATGGTTCTTACCTGTGCACTTGTCGCAACCTGGTCCCGGCATTTCGTTTTTAAGTAGAATTACTTCACGGTCAACCTTTCGAATTCTCTGAAAGAACAATGATCACTTGTCAGTTCCGCCCAGCTCGTTCGAATTTATGGATCGTCCCCTACCATGACCACTCATACTCCAAACTGACTGAACGGCGTGTGCAACGAGTATCGTGCGTGCCATGCGCAAATCAGGAGTGTACTCATTCAAACCGATACCATTCTGCAAATTTTAAATCAAAAAATTTCCAACGTATATTTTTTTCTATATCGCATCTGAATTTTTACGTATTTTTACCTTAACTTTACAGTTTTAAAAAATGGACATATTTTTAAAAACTAATATTGTTTAAAACAATAGTTTCTCAAATACAGCTATTTGAATTTTTTGCGGTAAAAATTTGCGTCACATTTGTTATGATGATAATTTTTCAAGTGTTGTAGCACAAGGTGTGCTTATAAAAATTTTGCAACAGAATCACGAGAGAAAAATAATATTTCAAATTATTCGAATATATTACCAATTTTTCTTAGGAATAACATGTAATAATACTTCTGTCATTTAAAATCATACGTGACTATTCACACGTACTTAAGTTTAAAAATCGCGAGCTAGAATTAGAGACAGGGCATAAAGATACAGTTTACGTCCCTGAGTAAGCACAGCACGAGCCCAATGGAGACACGTTGCACGTTACACAACAGTAGGAGATAAGAACGTAGATGCTCTAACGATCGAAGCCGAGTGAATTCTAGAAATTTTACACAAAAGAAATGATCCAGTGACTCATATTGTAAATAGAGTAACGGATAACTGCATTTCTTTTCGCCTTTTCCGAAGTCTACTAGAAAGCACAGTTTAAAAAGTACATACTTTCACATAAACATGTATTTAATAACAAATAAATGCTGATAAGTTGATGGTAAATAACATGAAACTAAACGAAATTATATATAATTTATTAAAAAATATTGCTCTTTTCAAACATATCATTTATGGAAAAAAAATATGAAACAAGTTTATTGCAAGTACTAGAGACGTTAAACATTTTCCCGCCTGTGAATGAAATTCGTTTTACACGCTGTCTGTTCGATATGTATCGATTCATCTTCTGGTTCATAATGGATTTCATATTCTTCAACATTTCCTTTACATTTCCTCTTTTGTATTGTATTTGTCCGATCTAGAAATATTTTTCAAATACATATAAATGAGCTATAAACCTGGATATTCATATTTTTATATAATTAGATATAATTATATGTACCTTGATTTATCTAAAAATATAAAAAATGGAAATATTTTAATATATTTTGAAAACTTAAAAAAAATGAATACAAAGATATATACATACTGTTTTAACGTGTAAAGGAAGTTTATATGAAACCTTAGGAAGTACAAAATGACTCTTAGGTATATGATCATCTGACGTTTTTGTTTTAAGTACCTTAAAATAAAACGTAAACGAAATAAAAAATTTTAAACATACAATTTACCAAATTCTGATATATCTATATTTACCTTTTGCTTAGATGTGAAGTTTGTATGTACTTTAGGAGACAAATTAATTTTGAGAGACATCTTTTCTTGTGATATAGTTATACTGTTTGTTGGAGTATTTTGTTTTGAATTTCTATTTGGTGATGCTTTAGCATTCTCTTTCGTAGGAGTTAGCAATAATCGATCTTTTTTAGCATGTACATTTTTGATAAGTTGCATATCTGTGCCTTTTATATACATACCAACAGGTGATATTATAGTATTATAATTCAATCGATATAAACCCTTAGCATGCGGACTTTTCAAAATATGGTACTTTGCTGTGTTTTCTACAGGACTGTGCATAGTGGGAAAATATACCTTTTGTTTCGGACAATCGTTATTTGGTGGAGGTTTCCCTGGAGTAACAAAAAGTTTAGATTTTATACTTTCTCCTTTCTTTTCCTTTTCTTCACCTCGTTTCTTTGATAATGGTGACTTATAGGAATTACAAGGTTTTCTATTTGGACTAACAATATGGCTTATACATGGTGTTTTCTTTATATTTAAAGTTTTATGTTCCAAATCAGATTTTTTCATATTTTTGAGGCTAATTTCAGGTGTGCTAGGGTTTGAATTTTGAAATGACATAAAAAGTGGTTTCTGTTTTTCCAAATATGTCTGATAATCTTTACAGGACATCAAAGTTTTCAAAAACTTAGTTGCATCACTACTCAATGAATTTGATTCATTGTCAGTAGAAAATATAGGCGACAGTTTTAACGTTTTTTGTGCTTCTATTACATCAGGATCTTTATTAATTTCACTGAGAAGTCTTGCAGTATCGAGACATCTTTTTCGTTTTTCTGCTATACCTTGTAAAAGTGTCTTTTCTAATTCATCTGGATCCACTGCTGCATAATTATTTGTAAATTTCTCTGGCTTCATCTTATTGAAATTAGACTTCCCACTTAGATTTCTAGATTTTTTCTTAGAATATGACATATTCTCATACTCAATATTTTTTAACTTACTATGGTATTGTAATTTTGAGCAACTGAGTCCTGATTTGTTTAGCGAAGGACTTTGACATAAACATTTATCTAATAAATTTGTGGTAGTTACTATTGTATTTTCTCTGTGATTTTCTTCTGTGTTAGTCATATTTAAAGAAGCCATTTGTTGCTCACATATGCATTGGATTTGATTCATACTTAATAAAGAAGGCATGGACAAACTTTTACGTAAAGGTTTAGAATACTCTTTCTCCTCAGGAAATAATCTTATACATTGTGCCTCCAAGTGTTCAAAAGATGTATTACTAGATTCATTACATATATTATCAAGGTTTCCATTATTATTATTTCTTGATATTTTATTGAAGAAACGTCTTTTCATTATATCTATACCAGAAATAGGTGTAGTGGGTGTAGATGTACTTATAGATGAGGTTAACTTTTCATTTTTAGGAGTTTTGATATCAGCAGATCTATTACATGCAGGACTTGTAGGAATTTTCTGTAAGCATGGAGGTGTAGACATTGGTGATGGTGGCCACTCAGGATCCGACTCATCCTCAATGAATTTACACATTTTTCGAAATTCTGTTGTTAATCTGCTTAAATTTATTGCAGATGTATTAGATACATTATTATCATCATTGTTGATAATAGATTCTTCAATGATAGTCAAAAGTTTCTCAGTAAAATTTTGTGGTGCCTGTATAAATTTCTCTGACAAACGTTTTAAAACTTGTGATTGTGAAACTTCTTTCATTTGGTTAAATTTATTATCCAAAGAACAGAGTAGTATTTCAAATTTCTTTGCTTCATTACTCACATTTTTATCTTTACATTTTGTATCACAAATCTGTTTATCTTCATTTGCAGAAGTTGGTAAAGAAATAAACTGTGATATTGTTATTTTAGGTGCATTTTGTTCTAAGATTGAACTTATATTACATTTATTATTATGTATATTGTAATTGGAATCCCTTTTAGAACTTTCATTTATTGTATTGGTATTTAATTTGTTATGTTCATCTAACACTTGTTTCTTGGGTACAGTTGTCAATTTTGTAAACATATCATTCTTGTCCAACTCTTTATCCTTCTTAGAGTACTGAGGACCATTATTCTCCTTATTATCATCAATTTTACTACTTAAGTGTTCAGCTTGAAATGAATTAATACGTTCATTTAAATCTGGTGCAGATTGAGTTGCTGAGGATGATGTGATTGACGAAATAAACGTATTCTGTGCAAAAGAATGTTTTGAAGAGCTGCTAGCCAAAATAATGGAATGTTTACTGTTGCATGTAGTATCAGTAGATACATGGCTATTTTTACTTTTAACATCATCCAAACTGTCCTGAGAGATTGAATAAAGTGTATCAGAATCGATCTCGGAATTTGTATATTCTGAAAAAAATATTACTTGACTATTAGTTAATAGTACTTTAACATTTTAATATACAAAAACACACGCGTATCACGTTTTTATACTTACGAAAACTACTTAATGAATCTGTAAAATCGTTAGCTCGTCTTCGACGCCGACTCATTTTAATACCAGCATTAAGTATTCTTCACGCTCAATACTAATTCTACACTCACATTGTTTGAAACTACATTAAGATCCGTTAGGTACGTTACAGTCTACTTCCATTATTTCATTTCGAATTATCAATGGTGCCAATGTACCAAAAAAATAACTGTGCATAGAAAATAATCTATACGTTATGTTGGTACGATGGGTAGTACAATTTGAAGGTAGTTGCTTATTTATTTATTATTATGTGACACAAAATTCACCAGAGTAGCATAATATAACATTAAAACAATAAAATATGTTACTTCTAAATTTTTATACCATTTATATTTTTTGTACTTCTTTGTAACAAAGTCTGTTATTAAAGTAATTGAGTAAAACATAGTCTTCATGAGTGCAAAAGAACTACTTACATCAAATGCCCTTTCGCCTAATGCATACGATGCAGCATATGTAAAGTTAGTAAATACGGTACTAAAAGAATCCGCTGACAGTTTCGAAAAGGAACAAAAATGTATGTATATTATACTATTTTGTGATTGTTAATGTGAATCTTTCATATAATAATTGATGATTTTAGTTTTGGATAATGTTCTATTGAATCTTTACAATATTTTTGGTGCAGTATTTGAAAGGGCATTAGAGTTGTATGAACAAAAACGTATAACTCATATTTTTCCTTCTGAAACTGCTGGAGTTGCACCCCACAGTGAGAGAAACAATGCCAGATACTTAGTACAGGTTAAGGGATTGTCAGGAGCAATATACACACTTTTTCCTGATGTAAATTATTGTCTTTGTGCTTCCTTCAGGTAAAAAAATTTGTTGCTTTTCATGGGCAGTTATCACGGCAAGAAAAGTTATTATTATACATTATGCTTACAGATATCAAGTGCTAAGTGACAGGTCTTTGTTTACTTGTAAACATGTTTTAGCAGCTTGGTTAGTAGCAATTACAAAAGACAAGTTGTCTTATCAATATATAACAGAAAAACAATTCCAAAATCTGTTATTGTATCAAGTTTCATATGAACAACATGTATCCTGAGCAGGACAATTATTATTTAGTTGCAAAAGTAGGAAACCCTAAAACCATAGTTCAGTTATTAAAAGCAATTAATTTTAAAGAGGTACTATAATATTTGGATATTATATTTCATTTTTTAACAAAAGTGGAACATGGACTTAAAAATGTCCTAATTTTGTTTAGAGTGCTACATGTTTTGGAACTGAAAATGGTTTAAAACTAACAGTAGAAGATGCAAAATGTATGCAAGCTAGTACTTATATACCATCCCACGTGTTTGAAGAATTTAATTTAAAGGAAGATGTAATTTTTAGAATAAATTTAACTGTATTGGTGGAGTGCCTTTGCATGTTTTGGAGTAATATAAATAGTCAAGGAAGTTCTGTGGCTGTACAACTTTTTTATAAAGTATACATGAATAAGATCATATTATAAATTTTATAAGTCTAATTAATTATTAACAAGTAAAAGTTTTAAATAGGGTAATGGATATCCTGTAACTGTACTTATAGAGGAGGATGGAGTTATAACAGATTGTTCTTTAAAAACTCAGGATCCTGATGAGTTGTTAGATTTTCATCTTGAACCAGAAAATGTTTTAAATAAAGTAGTTCTACAAACTGAATTATTAAAGGATATTTTATCAGAGCTAGATCCAACTAGTGATTTTATCGAGGTAGAGCATAATTTAACACTTATATTTTGAGAATTTTACATTTCTACATTTTGATAACATTGCAGCTGCTTTTATCACCTTCTACACCTTTTTTTCGAATTAGTACAGCTGGTTTAGCTGGAATTTGTTATGTTGAATTACCACATGATGGTGATTTGATTGATAACTTTCAATGTACTTCAACAGCATCATCAAAGTACAGACTTTCACATATTAAACCAGCTATGAAGGCATTAGTATATGCAAATAAAGTTTCCTTAAGAACTGATACATGTGGATTGTTGTGTTTTCAATATATGGTTAAAACTGATGAAGGACATACTTGTTACATAGAGTTCTATGTAAGCATGACTCCTATATTACCCTTAAATGCATAGCATATAAACATCCATAATGTAAACATAGCATATGAACATATATTTTTTCAGATTTCACCAGTGATAGATCCTGATGAATAGGATTGTAAAAAAATAGGCTTGTAAAACAGTTAAAATAGTTCTCAAAGTTTTGTTTTTTATTCCACATCATTGCAATTAAAGTTACCCATTTATTGTATCAATCTTTATTGTATTTATATAAAAGAAATATTATCATAAAAAGTTGTTCAAAATTATTTTTATTTATTGTGAATTCGTTCGGTATACCCAATTATGGATATAACATACACGGAAGCATGTGAATTACATTCAAAGATGCATACAAAATATATAAATTTTCAACACTTTCAAAATGTTACGTAATAATCCTTGATGTATGTATGAATATAAAGTACTATTATATTCATACATCGTATTATATTGCGAAATATAATTTTATTTTAAAATAATATCAGCAACGTTTATACGTTCATACGTATTATTGTGCGTGTAGAAAAATTTTTTTTTTACATTTACCAAAACAATGTATTGCGCTTGAATTAGCAAGAACTGTCAACACTGTCAAACTTTTGATTCGCTGAGGAATAGTGTATCCTTAGTTAATAGTCTTGGATCTTGTACACTCTCGTGCACACAATGTCGTCAACTTTCATGATCTGTAACAACAAAGGAAAAAAATATTTATTTGCATGCTTATACAATATCCAAACATATTTTCATCGTATAGGCCAAGATAATACGATTCTTATTTTTTTTTTTTTAAGTGCCATTCAAGGCTTCGAAACGATTATTATTAACTCCATTATTGAACTTCTTATTAAATTGTTCTAGTCACGAATACGAGGATCACGCGGCAATTGGCGGACCTTTTGACCAATGACAAAGGCATTGTTATTATAGTTAGACGTTCGTTCTGTTATCTTTCTCTGTGTCGTTCAACCCTACAGAACTTCCATTACACGAAATGTAATTCAATTGAAACATTAAACTTTTAATTCTTTAATGAACGAGATTACGTAATTTATTATAGCTCAGCTTTTTATTAGATTTAACATTTACGATTGAGTTGAAACGATAATGAGTACATATACCGTTAAGGTACAAAGGTTGCGTGTGATTAAATTACACGATTCCGTTGTCCGTTTTTCCGATCCGTTTGTTTTTGTTTTCTTTTTTTTTTTTTTTTTTTTTAAATAATGCAGGACGTAAAATTATTCGTGTTTTTCCTTCCGTTTTTTTTTTTTTTTTTTTTTTTTTTTTTTTTTTTTAAATCATACGTACCGCTTTCATTTCTGTCGGCGTGAATTCTCTTTCAATGGTAGTCTGCTTCTCTCCCTTTTGTACTTGAATGAGTTTATTTCCATCTAAAGTGCAGACGCTCTTTACTTTTCTTCCGTCCGGCGTTTCTTCATCGAACTCCTCGCCCAGCTTGAATTTTATTTCAGAGTTCTTGAACGTGCTAGTCGTTTTCAACGTATAGAGTCCATCGTTCTCTGTTAATTCAACAACAGGGCTCACGCTGCTGCCCATTTTACGCGTCACTGTACCTACGCCTGAAAGAAAAGAAAAGAAAAAAACTTAAGAACACACAGATTTTTAAAATTAAAAAGAGAAAAAAAAACACTTGAAACCTGAGGCTCGATTTTATAGGCAGCTTAATACCACCTTGATGAACGTATAAGAATAGCGATTATTTCGAAACGATCGTATATCGTATACGCTTAAGATTTGAATTTCAAATTAGATCGAAAGTGTTCATCGCGAAATAATATTCTCGTGAAACACGAGAGGCTCTTTCTTACCTAACGCTTTCATAAACTCATCGAACTTTTCACTCGATTGAAGTTTGTAACGTTTGCCCAAAAACGCCGACAGCATTTTGAAACGGTTTGTCTGCACGATGTGTTACCAGCGAAAGCAAAAGGCGGACTGAACATCAGCGGTGCAATTATCGTATCTTATATTGTGAGTAATGACAGCGTCGCTCGCGGCTTATCAATTATACGAGAAACCGAGTCCTGCTTAATCAATATGCGAAATACAGTGCAAACTTTGAAGTTTGGACTTTCCTGTGATATTAGCTGTGTGTGATTCCATGATATGTTTTCAAAAGCATGACGACGCATCTCGTATCTTTGAAAACAAAAATTCTAACGTAAACGTAATCTTATTTGCCCGTGTCGAATTACACCGGATACAATGTCCGTAATATTTGTTTTCAACAGACTCTTCGCGTGTTACGGATACACGAGGAATTCACAGAAAAAAATCGTTTCACGTCTGACCATCGTTAGTATTAGTATTATCGGTATTCTTACTCATACGTGTCTGAGAGTAATTTTATTATAAATAGATCTGTAATATCATCTCGAGTCTGCAACAACATCTTCCCGCACATCCGTTTTGTGCATCGATACAATTTTCAATCTCCCTCGATTCGAGGAAGGAATAATTTATGTTCCTTGTCCGTATTAGTCAACACTTAAAACATGTGGGCGACGTCGATCAGAATGAGCTTGCAATTTTATTTAATTTCCGGTAACCGTATGAAATAACCGGTTGCAACATGGTTAGAATGCGAAAATGTTGCGGATGTGTTCATAGGGCTGTTGTCGTTTAAAACGCCGACGAATAAATCATTTGCATTTTACAACGCTGCATGGTACCTCGTTTTCTCTGGCGCGAGAGAGAGAGAGAGAGAGAGAGCGAGGGGGAGAGAGAAAGAGAGAGACCGAGACCGTAACACCACCACGTCTCTTATCAGACCAGACGGTCAATGTATTTTTATTAAGTCAACACCATAAGTACCATACGTTAGTACGATTCGACTGACAATTGCGATTTATTAATCTTGCTCCGGTAAATTAATTCAAGTGCTAAATTGGAGTACAATCGGACTCTCTGTCTGTGGCACATGGCGGGAATTAAGCGTGAGGTCAGGTCGTTGCACAGCCACCGGGAGCATAGTTCAACATATTAAAATTGATTATCTTATTTATCATTACAATACGTTGCCAGCCCTAATATTATAAATGAGACCGTTCGTCTGCGGTCGGATTGAATTTCTCAGTGTGACAGAACTGGCTATTTCGTAAATGTTAATCATATACACGTCTTATTCTGCCCGAAAATATCTTATTGTTCTTATCTTACGTTCAACTTCCGCTATGCTAATACAGATACATATCCATAATAAATATGTTAACACTTTCACCTAATGACTGTGGGTACTACTAATTATCATTATTAGATATAAATTTGTAAGCAGACGACCGGTATTGTATGCGAATGAGAGATTCTCATTATCCTTGTTACATATCACCTTGAGAAATTTTTTAATATCCGATCGCAGATTGACTGGAATGCCCTCCCTTATCGAACGACAAAATGTCGTCGTCCGATAACACGCACGACCATGCAACGATTTTCTAAATATTCCACTTGGCTTAGAGGACATTCGCGGTATATTTACAGCAGCCATTCACCGGCAAAATGATAAAGTCCGATATCGTAATCTCGCGATACGAAATTCGTGCAACGATACATGAGAGCAGCCTCTCGTGAAATTTGATTCGCTGTTGCATCGCGAACGGATAATTCCAGAACGCACAGAGGAATGTCCTTACGCGTTGGAACGCGATCGAAGGAACGGTGTGTTCCATTAATTCTAATACGTACCGAGCGCCTTCATGAACTCGTCGAAATTCTCGCTGCTGAACAGCTTGTATCTCTTTCCAGTAAACACCGGCATGACGATCGATCGAATTTGTCTGGACTCTCGAGAGCACGTGACTTGCGAATATAGAACTAAAGGACAATCGTTGCGGTCGGGGGACAGAGAAATTTGGTACAGATGGACCGATGTTCACTGTCTTCTCGCCGGCTCTAGACTGACTAGGATCCGGGAGGACGAACAACGTTAAAGGTATACTCTGTCTGAACCGGGTACACACCTCTCTCTCTCTCTCTCTCTCTCACCTCCTTCTCCCTTCCTCTTTACTACCTAGGTTACATCCTCTCTCGCTCCTTTTCGTTCACCCCCTTTTCGCCCTTCTCTCCCTCGATCGTTCTCTTTCTCTCGTTCGAGCTTTCTTCTCGCTCCTTTCATCTCCTATTTGAAAATCTTCCCTCTCTCCATACCGGCCGTTTCGTTCTCGCGTTTGGGCAGTCCCCCTCCCAGAATATTCGCAGCTGCCACGCCATAGCCGGTGCTTCGTCGTTGTTCTTGTACTCTATTTTTCCCTTTTTCCCTTTTTTTTTACCTTCGTTACACGTTGTCGTTAAATCATCCTCGCCACTTTTTACCTTCCACTTCTACCTTCGTAGTTATTTCCACCGCGAGACCATTCAGACGGTGCTTTTGTACGCGTTAGAAAATAAAACTACGTCTGAATAGGTGATAGGGAAATTAATGACTGAACTTGTGTTCCTGTAACTATGTACTTACTAGTCATAAGTATAGCTTCTTATTACCATCATTATTTGTATTATGTAGTAGCTGTTTGCTCTTCGAACCTTTGCTAATAAATTCATCAATTTTAACAGTGTATATTTTTTACGTCTATTTACATTTTTTACATCAATTCATACCTTGGACTGGATTCTAATTGGTGCGCAATCCTGCAGAAATTATTACCGCATTAATCATGGTCAATTATTCAACCGTGAGACTATGCGACGCTTCTGATCATGCGCAAATCTTCACCTAGCCGTACCAAAGTCCGTCGTCTATTGGTCGACGAGCGTGCGCGCGCCATGCGTCGACCAATCGCGTGATTTTATAATTAAACTACGAATGTAATTATTTATCGTAACACTCGAACACGGCAAATCGATTTAATCTTAACAATCTAACATTTTCCATCAGAAAAAAGAAAAAAAAGTGTAATATTTGTAACGCGACGATATCACGAATTATCGACCGATCGTAGATACCGATATCTACCAATCTTTTTCATCCGTTACAAAACAATTACGATCGATCCCATTTACTTTTGATTATTCGAATCGTTGTACAGGCATCTCTGTGCTAGATCGCAAAAGCGCGACAAAGGAGGTATTGCGTTTCATTCGACGGTCAGTCCGGCGTCGATTTTGCTGCGTTTGCCAAACGACCTGCCATGGTCGATAACGGCGCGGTAGAAACGCGACGACGTGGCCGCTGCGTATCCGCGTCCATTCCCGCTGAGCACGGTATCTACGATCGCGTAGCAACGCGCCACTTTCGACGTGCACGCTCCTCACACACACACACAACGTGCGCACACCTAGCGTGTGGTACGTTTGGCAACGTCGAAACTTGCGCGAATTCCGCACCGGCTACGCCGGGAACGCAACCCGATGTCTATTGCCGCGTTCTCTCCATTGACGAATGATTTTCGATCGTGTGTACTTATGAATGTACACATGCACTTGGTTGCTTTTTACGAAGTACCATAGTCACACTGAAACGTAATTGCGTTACAATTTAACACGCGAATTAAATTCGTTCAAGCGTCTAAGAAACGCTAACCGCCCTCCTCCCCGCCGGTGTGCTGGTTATCGCTCGATAACCGTTTCAGGTTTTCCGCGAGATTGCGTAATTGCACCTCGAACTTCCTCCACGATTTCGTGGACCGGCTGTCTATTTATAACTATATATACACGAGAAGGAGCACGCGTTCATCCAACGGCCGCGAATATCGGAATACCTCCTACAACCGGTTCCAGCCGATCACCGGTTTCTTTGGCTGCGTTATTATAAATCCGGTGCGGTCGATACAGTATCACCGCATTGGAAATGCGACAGCGGCGACAACGACACAACCGGCTAACGAGGACGCGTCGCATACATATGTATGCATACATAACCTAGCAGAGAGGAAAAGAAGGCGATTGCGGATGGCGGACACGCACAGGTTCCGCCGTCTTTTCAAGCCCCGGTTGGCCAGCTGTAGATTTGGCAACGCTGCGGCATAGCAGCGGCATAGATTCCGCTCCGCAACCGCAACCGCACGCCAGCCTAGCGCGCCATGATGCCAAACCAAGCTGCTAGCCGTACAACGGTTTCTCCGCAGTGACGCGCAAGCTGCCGGCGACGGCGTAGCACATACAAGCCGAAACGCTTGCGGGATTTATAAAAGAACGTTCCGTCCAAAAGATTCTACATCATTTATTCTTTCGTCAGTTTCTCCTTCGTGCCATTTTATCGTCGATCATATAGCACGGATTATTCTCACGTCGATACGAATCACGTATTCATTGACCGCGAATATTGGCCGGCTCGTGCGACCGTATACACGCTTGGATTAATCCGAATCGATACACCCGGTATCTCTCTCTCTCTCGTTTGGCCGTTGAAACACGATCGACACACTAGCTGGTCGAACCGTATCATCCCCTTTTGTAATCGGTATCGTTGTTTCAGAATATCGATTCATTTCTCCTCTCTACACTGTTCCACGTGGTTTTTCTAAAGTATTCTTTCGTATTACCGAGAGAGAGAGAGAGAGAGAAAGAGGAGATAAATAAGGGGAGAAATTCTAGCGGAAAATCTGGAGGGTTGTTTAGATCTTTTCGCGATATCCGATATGTTCGACACGGAGAAATTTATCGAGGAGATCGAGAAACGACCGGCGATATACGATGTGAATCGTAGCGAGTACAACGACCGTAACGCCAAGATGACCGCGTGGGACGAGGTCTGCCAGGTGATGGTACCGAATTGGGCGTGCTTGACGGACGGGGAGAGAAACGTAGAAGGTATACAGCCTCTTGCGATCGATCGATCCGGATTCCTCTGCTTGCACTTACTCGACCCTGGCACAGGCCGTCGTGACCGTACCCGCAGTCGTTTAAAATTAGTCTACAAGTTTTTTTTTTTCCCCCCCATTGTTCGCTTACATAATACCGTGTAGAGAACAACATCGATACGCATAACCGCGTGCTATCCAACGCAGCTCCCTTTAATTCTTCTATTATATACTTCTCGTGTTTATTAATCTTACCATGAAATCCTCTACAACAGGCGACTAATTTTCAGAGAAAAATTTACGCGGGAAATGGAGAAATATCCGTGACTATTTTATGAAAGAACTGAAACTTCAGAAATCGCAGAAATTAGGACCGTCCGGTCGAAAGCGAAAGAAATACATGTATTTCGATCAGCTGTTGTTCCTGATGCCTATGGTGGAGAATAAACGGTTGGTATATCCGGTCTCCGTGCACTTCGAACGCGATGATTATTCACGTATTTAAACCATGTTAGAAGCGTCCATCTAATAGCTAGTATGACAATGTATTACAGAAATTCTGGGACCATATTAAATAATTGCAAATCCGAGGAGAGCGAGGGTGAAATTGATAATCCTGTGATCGAGGAATACGACGTACCATTGGCCCATGCCGCTCCCTCGATTACGACCGGCAGAGAATACCTTCAACCGGGCGCCTCCAATAAAATGTGTCCCCGTTATCCGAAGCAGCTTTGCGAGACGTCGTTCACGTCCTTCGATAATGAAATTCACGATATCCTGTCGTCGCACAGCAGCCAACGGGTCGCGTACGACGAGGACGACTACGACAAAATGTTTCTGCTTTCTTTATTGCCGATCATACGGCAGGTACCGGAAGAGAAGAAACTCGACGTTAGGATACAGATGCAACAAGTCTTGGCCTTGGCGCTTCGTCCGCCGGACAATAAGCAATGATAGTTTTTTTTTCTTTCTCTCCTTATGCTACTTATGTTGCTCGATAATTCGTGTGAGTAAACACGACCAAGTGACCAGGATTGCCAGTGAGTATGCTCGTTCACGCGAAAAATCGATATCTTTATTTTCGTTCCTGCCAGAAATGGATATTACGTAACGAGAGAAGAAGCATACGTGTCTCGATTCAATACCACGGATAACGTGTTTTGGAGGTTTTCGACGGTTTCGAGAAGGAGTATACATGTTTATACTGCACCTCGGTTGCGTTCATTTTAATAATTGCCGATAACATCGTAGATAGTGGAGTGTTTGTGTCGTAAATATAGCGAAACCGCGATAATGTCTCGAGAAACGTTTCGGATGTAAAAAGCCTTGTATGAGAAGAACCACGATATAACGAATTGCACTTCGAGTACCTATACCTGTGATATTAACGCGAGGAAAACTACTTTTGACAAATGCAGAAACTGAAATAGGATTTATTACGGCGGCTACGTTACTGTACATCGGTAGAAATGGGTGATATAGTTGTTTTTCGCACATAGAACAATGATATATGTATTTTCGTAAACTTGCAGATAAATGTCAGTGATATATTGTCGATATTCGTCCTGCACGTACGGTGTATGGACGCGTTCCGCGAAATTATAACGAATAAATATTGCGAAAAGTACGTCGCGCGGGTATTGTTACTTTTCGTCGATACACATTTCGCTTGGGTTTCACGGAAGCGTGGACAGGTGGCAGCACGAGTACCACGTCTTCGAAACTTGTTCACTCTTGACATAACCGAGAGTCGAAGTACTTAATTTAGACGTTCAAAATGTTTAATTAAAATTGTGAAAACGAATTCCATTAATTCGCATCTACTTAATTTCAACCTTAAACGCTGTTCTTGTAACAGTATTTATCGTTAAACACGATTCGTAGTTGCTTATTTTGTACACATGGATTTTACGCATCAGTTTGGAATAAAATTCTTTCCAAAATATCCAACACCGTTGCATCCGTTATGTAATCCTCGCTCGTAACCTATAAATCATAATTTACGCAAACGAAGAATCCGACGTAAAAGAAAAAAGTTGGCCACATCGAGGAAACCATTATTCCTCGTGAAATTCAACGCTGACGCAAATGGTCGTAACATCATTTACATCTTGATACGACGAGAAGATTTCGAGGTGGCACTTTCGCTACGATATCAAATCTTATTAGAAGTTAAGAGGCCTACTTTAACGCGGTCATAATCGTCGTCTCGAAGAGGTTACGTATTTACCTTTCCACGCAACAAAGAATTAAACTTTAAACCGGGTAACTTAAGCCAATATTAACTAGGTAGACCAATGTTTGATTTTTTCGTTAGAATGCTCGTTTCTAATCTCAGCTAGACGCGTGTACATATACGCGAGGAGCAGTACAACGTTGCCAAATGGGGTACGATACTCGTGCGTTTGTCACAGTGTGTCATCTTGTTTGCAGCTTTATTTTTACAGTTTGCAAACTGCATTTAATTATCTGCCTTGCTCATCCTTCGTTTGGTGACGTTCTGTTTGCAGCATAACATAAAGCGGTATTCATGCGGGATATCTAATTATAACAGATAATGAGATCTATCCAGAATTCAAATTAACAACGTCCTGTTCTATTTTTAACCTAACGAACAAAAGGGACGAAAATACGCGGGTACCTTTGGTGTATATATATATCGAGTGTTATTCACTTCGTTATTTTAGCGACTCGACAGGAGTGGTGGTGGTGGCTAAATATCGATTAAAAATTCCATAATGCAAGAGACTTTGGTCTCTCCGCAATCGTTGCTCATTCCAACGTAATCCTTGCGTACGTAATCCCTATTGTGGATATAAAGCAATTTCAAACGAAATTTTGACCTGAATCCCTTTAACGAAACCTGTCGAATAAATTGAATTTCAATTCGACCGGACTATATTGCACGTTATAGTCTCCGTACTGTTCGTTTACCGAAATACCGATACAAAGTATACTTGAATGTAGATGGATCAACGCGTACACCTATTAACTCTTGCCTCCACACATTTATATAAAAAAAAAACCACCGGTCGCTGGTTTTCCATATAAATTACATAGATCACGAACACCTTTGAGCTTTACGATCGGGAACGGTCTTGTTTTATGACGAATACACAGAGTGACAAAGCCGCAAGAAATTTCGTCGCCTGTGACATTTCCTTTGTCATCGGGCATTTCTGATCGAAAAACCGCCAACAATGGAGATGCGTCGTTTTTACACACCATTGTTTCTTCCATTTGCATATAGTATCGCGGTACGTTTCGAAAGAAAGAATTACCTACGTGGTTCTCTCTGTACACGTGTAATTGGTTAATAGATTAACGGAACGATTTTTTTGCCATCGTCGTACTTTGTTACAGAATACTCTTGATTCATGTTTAATCTCTTGTAGATTTGGGTCAAGATCTATTGGAAAATGGGTTTAATAATAGCGTTCACTATATATTTTCTTAAATGTGTTTTTATTTGTATGGCGCGGAAGGACGTCTTTACTCTTCGAATTTCGTAGTCAAAGTGAAAGGAAACAAAAACGCAAGGGCAACTGAAATTCTGTTGCGCATTTGAGAAAAGGAGAGACCAAGAATACATCAGTCTATTACGTCTCTTTCACTAGCAGTGTTTCTCATATACATATATAACACAATTCATTTTTGCTTACTGGCTGACGCATTATTATTAGTAATAATCCAACAAAGATCTGATAAAAACAGTTGTATCGGTAAGAAAAATTACGTTTAATTCCAATTTTGGAAGATTGCCAAATTTAATTAATCTATGGTATATCAGCTTTTCTTACTTTCGATTTTAGTTATTAAACTGAAGATTAATTAATATAGGACTGAAATGGTAAATAGCTGACGCTTAGGTGCATAGTCAGGAAAACAAATTTTTACACTATTGCACTATATTTTTGTACCATTGCATTACTACCAGCCAATTGTTTTACAATAATTATTGCAATTTTAAAAATTTATATTACGTGCACAAATTCGATGCTTTTTTACAAACAATCAAACACAATTTTAACGTTCAAAACAATCTCAATTATTTCTAATGTCCTTTCCCAATTTATCTAGAAACTGACGAATTTCCTCTAAAAAAAAAGTATGGCGATTTTGAGTCACCGAAGTCATCAAGACTGTGTGAATTAATTTCTACGTCTAGTAATTATCACACTTTTCTCACAATAATTTGGGAAAATTATAAATGGGAAAATTTAAGAAAAAATCAACCGCAATTTTTCTCCTCATCATAGGGACACTTTTTCATCGCCAAATTTCTCCTCCCATCTCGTCTTCCCTCGTCGTCGAAAATCGGGTTACAGAGGATTAAAGAGTAACGACCAACGCGTCTAACGCGTCGATCGTTGATTAAACAATAAAAAACAGCATTAACGGATCAGCAAGGTAGAATCGGCGACCGGTGTGGAACGTCAGCGGCGTAAACATGCAAGGGTTACCAGCAACTAGTGGCGTTTGTTGAAACTCTACCCTCGGTGAACCCTCCTTTCCCTCCCATTCACTCCCTCCCTGAATAGACACTGCCCCCCTCTCGATCTCCACGTATCAACCCCCTCCTGGCCGTTTTCTCTCACCCTCGCTCGCGTTCACCGTTCCCCTCTTCTCGTTCTCTGTCTCCTTTCCCCTTCGACAAGCGCGGCTTTCTCTCGCGCGCGCGTTCTTCTGCCTCTGGAGCAACTCGCAGCATCCATCGGCCCGCTCCGGACTTCAGTCCATGTCGAGAACGCGGCACCGCCGGGACCTTAAGGACCCTTCGACATTCACGAATCCTTAGACCGATATCGAGGTGAAAACCGATATCTCGAAAAAAGCCACAGTTCCATCGAGACAAATTTCAAATAAACCACATTATACACCGCGATTCTTATCAGTTGATCGACGCTGATTTCCTACCATTCGAACACCGATACATTCTTAGCGACACCCAAAAAATCTAAGTCTCTGTCGCGAGTAATCTGATGCTACAAGAGTACCAAAGAATCTCGACGATAACCACTCGATAAGCGTTTCCTATAAATCATCAAGATCCACTGGTACGTGGACACCGAGAAGGAGAGCCCTCGATTCTCCTCCCTCTCTCTAGAAAATCACTCGTTACTCGATAAATCGTGGTACACCCGGAGGATACAAACGATCTCGTGGTAAAACGGATGCCTCAAGGGATTAGAATTAGATAATCGCATTTGACGAGGATAGAAGGAAGACGGGCGAAGCGTGATCGTTGAGGGGAGGACAGGCGAGAGGGAAGAGGAGCCACGAGGGCCCGCGAGGAGACTGAAGAAGAGGGAATTCCCGCGAGACTGCCGGGGGTTGTTGCCCAGCCCCGGAGAAGCGGACATCGGGCCCGGATGTTCGCAAGGACGAGACGCCGGAAACGCTGCCACGTTGGAAGGGAAAATATTGACGGCCGTCAACAAGTTCCTTACGACATCCCCTTTGGTTAACAAGGTCAAATTACTCATGGTAAGTGTATTTTTTCTTTTCTCTCTCCCTGACATCTACACACGCACACCTACTGCGACTACAGTTCTCGACGTCCCTCGGTCTCTTTGTTCTTCTTCGCCATTGGCACAGTTTCTCTTCGACCTTATTGAGAAAAGTTGTTGGTTGCGCTGTCTCCGGCTCGATTGCGTTTCTGGTTAGTTCGAGGAAATTATTTGGAAGATTGGCGCGTGTATATAGTCGAACACTCGAGAGGCAAGATATTTATCGCATATTGGAACCGTTCTTTTCGGTTCTTTTTACCTTCGCGAGAGAAGCTTGAAGCAAGAAAATGGACTGGAAGTTTGTACGTATGAAATTGGAATCACATGGACCGTTTGCTTCCGGTGAAAAAATGTAATATTGACGTGAACATACGCTGAAACGTTCAAGGAATGGTGTTTCGAGCAAATTCCTCGCGACTATAATATCCACGGATCCGTGGCTATCGCGGTCTTTCGTTACGTTCCGTGGTAAAGCACGAGCGGAAGCTCGCGATGTTTTGCCACAGGAAGAAAGATAAAGAAAGATAACGCGGATGACGTTAGAGGAGCGGAGGTATGTTAGAAATGCGAGCAATTGAGCGGGCAGTTTTTACTACACGGTCGTTCTCCGCTCGTGGAAAAACCTTCGGATTCTTTCTCGGATCTTCCAGTTTCCAGCAACGACGTGGCGGGATTTTTCGTGTCAGTGAAATTGCTCGTGAACACTTTCGGCTCGTTTTTCCAACCCATGAATGCCACCTTTAACTGCGCACAATTATCTAACACCACGCCTGTTTGCATGTCGTTAAATCTTCTTCCACCGTTAACCTGGTACAAGTAACCTCTAACGTTCTTCTGCTTCTCTTCCCGATGTCCCGTTTGTCGTAAAAACGCGTGTCTCGACGCGCGTACGAATCAAGCACGAGGAACGATTAGAAGCACGGTGACTCGGGAGTTTCCGTTGCACAAGTGCAGTGATACGAGGACGGGGAATTTGGTGTTCTGCCAGGGGACGTGAATGTACACCTTATTCCAGGTATGAGCTCCGGAACAGGGTGAAAGCATCGGTCGTATGGTAATGCAAATCGATGATGCTCATATCCACGAGTGTCCTTATACGTGAATACTATGGCAATATGCTCGAGAATTGCATACCTGTAGATTGCTTGCCAGATGAAGCAATCGAAACACTCCATTTCCCTCGTTTTAACTTGTTGCTCAACCGTAGCTTTCTGATACCCCCGTGATATCCTATCCTACATTTATTATCGGTTTCGGGTAAATACCGTATCCCTTGTCGCCGTTGGCAAATCCCATGGAATTTACCACCGGTATGTAACCGAGCACTATGATTGGAATGATCAAAGAGACGTGGACGATAGTTCCCCGTCTTGTCAAGCTTTCGCCAACTTGCGTCCGTTTAATCCGTCTCCGGTCTTTAATTAAATTTATCCAAGAAACAGATCGCAGATTACTACGAACGAACAATTCAATTTCCCCCGGTTGGATTCGCGAAAGGAAACATTTCACCGATCTCCAGGGACACCGAGGCTGCGTGAAACCTCCGAGAATTTGTTACTTCGGTTATTTGGCTTTCGCCGTACACACTCTTTAACGTTTCCGTGTCTATTTGCGAGTAACGGTCTCTCTCGTTCGGACACTTGGATCCCAAAGCTCGCGAAACGTTTCCGTATTGTGCTCGGTTGGAACGGGACGAACCCTCGCAGGAGTTTCCCGCGTTCTCCGCCATTCTCGGCGTGCCATTATCGTCCACGAGTGTTCACCGCACGGCAACTCGAGATTCCAAGCATGCATGGTGTCATAAATGGAGACAAATGGCCGGATCGTGGGTAGATACGAGCCGGTGGTCTAAAAGAACGGCCAACTCCTGGCCTGAACTCTATTCCAAGCGGGCCCTTTTGAATAGCAAAGCGTAGCCCACGCTTGTTGGATAACAGAGACAACTAGGCTTTCATCCTCTCTCTCTCTCTCTCTCTCCCTCTTTCTGCTGCCAGTCTCTCTGTGCTACTTTATCAGTTTACGCGAGCCGCACAGTGGTACGGGTCAGGCTGTTGACTTCCAGAACGAGATTAGCATTGTGTTCTTTCACTTAGAGCTTCGCTGTGATTTTATCGGTAGATTGGACGTGGTTCTTATAGGGTGTGTCTTGTTCAATTTTCAAGTTCTTATTGCTCTACACCAGGTCGATGGTGAACTTCGGTTAACATCGTAAAAGGAGTCTCCGTTAAGACACTTCCTTACAGATGTTTGTCTTCGATGTGAGTTTAAAATTGGACACGTGTTACTATGCACCAGGCTGGGTGAGAACGATCTTTCCCCCGGTGAAGATAAGAAACTTTGACTTTCTTCGAGGAAGAACAACGATCGAGTTTAATAACGAGGGGGGGAGAATTATTATCTGGTATTTGTTTCGTAAAGTAACCGAGGTACTTTTGTTTCAGTGAAATTTTATAGATATACGTAATCTACGTTGTGTAAGATTATTATCGTCTAGTTAGGATTTTAATAATTTCTTCGATGAACACGAGAGCACTGATTTCCTTTTGGAGAAAAGCAGTGATCGAGTTTTTAATAACGAGCGAAAGGAATTATGCGTTGTTTAGTTTAGAAACTAGGCAAAGTGTTGTCCTTTTTCAAGTGAAATTGCGTTATTACTGTCTAATTAGAAGTCCAATAATTTCTTCCATCAATGATTCAACCACGACAGCACGTCAAATTTGTGCTCTACAATATTCCACGACGAAATAACCCAACTTTTCCGAGCCGCGTTTTCCTCGTTAATATCGTTCATTTGGAAATCGCGTCCTGTGACACGTGATAGGTGAATTATCAGCGATTTCCACGCGGACGAGATTTTTGTCAAGCGTCGAGCTACTAAAATGTCCATCGAAAATCTCAGCAAGATTTTGCCGCGCGTTGAAATCCCTGGAAGTTCTGGTGTTCCGTTGGCCACGCCATGGAACATCGACTTTCATCAATTACTCGAATCGACCAATCTTCGAATCGCCACAGCCCGCGTCCCTCGATTTAGGTCACCCGCGGTGGTTTTAACAAGCTTCGAACGCGAAACGAAATTTTATTTTTTCATTGCGCCAAAGTTTATTGGATGTTGGGAAATAATTAGCCGCGAGTGAACGTCATCGAGTAGGGTAAATGTTTGAAACAAACTCTGCGGTGGTTCGGTATTCGGATTTCTCCGGTTTTACTCGACGAAACGGCGTAGTTTCAAACGTAGCATACATTCATGCATAGAGACTTTCGCGTGCGTCACATACACGTGTAATTGCACCGTCGTTAAACGTAGATTAACGGAGCACGTTGACGTTCGTAATCCTGACCATCCCCCTCTCCCGAAAATTATGATAAAAACCGGCCAGTTCATTTTCGGCAACGACGACACCGTTTCCTTGGCGGACCGCAAAGCTTGTGCGGGCTCACTTTGAAAATGTTAACGAGCCGGGACCGACTAACCGAGCCGTTGCTCCATAATTATATGTGACT